GTGACCCCTGGAGCCCCAGGTCGCCGTCCCCCCCGGAGCACCGCTCCGCTTAGCACACAGCTGGCAGATCCGTTCAGCATGAGCTGAACGAACAGCCGGTCCATGTCTCCCAGCATGGACCAGCCAGAACGGCTGTGATCCTTCGGTCATACAACGTGCCAGCTGGCTGCTTGCCCCGCAATGAAGGATCCTGGGTGTCTCTCTGTACCCCAGTTACACCCCCAAAAGTCCAAGCAGGGTCACCCTGCGGTGTGTGGGTTTTCGTGCAGCACCTGAAGTCTATCAATCCGTCCTTTGCTCAGAGTAAGTGGGTGTCCTTGTGACCCCCCCCCGATACTCAGCCAGGGTGAGGGAAGCGTCTCTTCTCTCCTGCCTAGCAGGACACTTGGGTCGCCTTCTGGCCTGCTTGTCTCACACACCTTCCGAACACACTTTTCAGGGCAGATACGCAGTTCCTTGCACGTGACCCGCGCGTCCGTTCTGCAGCGGTGATGACGTCCAGGCAAAGGGCTAATCTTCCATTTCTCCACCCCCCCCAGATGAAGAGCATGGGGCTGGGCGACCCCCGGACCTTCCCCTTCCTGGAGCCGCCCCCCCAGTCCAGCCTGGAGACGGCCGTGCGCTACTTGAGGGAGCAGGGGGCGCTGGACGGGGCTGAGAGCCTGACGCCCATCGGGAGCCTGCTGGCCCAGCTGCCCGTGGACGTGGTGATCGGTGAGGTGCCGTGGGGGGCTGGGGAGGCCCTGGCTGGGGACGGGGGGAGATTGGGGGGGCCAGGGGCATGGAGAGGGACTTTAACCCTTGGGATGGGGGTGGGAGGTGGTTCACTGCCCCCTCCGCCCCCGTAACGCTCTCCTGCCCCCGTCCCCCTGCAGGGAAGATGCTGGTTCTGGGCGCGCTCTTTGGTCTGGCTGGGCCGGTGCTGTCTGTGGCTGCAGCGCTGAGCGTGCAGTCCCCGTTCCTGCGCACCACGCGCACCAACCCCGACTGTGCCACGGCCCGCCGGCCCCTTGAGAGCCCCCACGGCGACCCGCTGACGCTGCTCAACACCTTCAACGAGTGGGTGCAGGTGGGACTGGCTGGCCCTCAGCTCCGCGGGACGTCTGGGGGGGCAGACCCTTGGGTGGGGTGTGTTGGGGGGGTTACATACTGTGGGGGAGCTGTGGGGGTCTCGGGGAGGAGATCCCCCATGGCGGGAGCTACGGGGGGGGCGTTGGGGGGGGAGATCCCTCGTGGGGGGGCTGGGTGTGGATGTGGGGGGGAGGAGATCCCCCATGGCGGGAGCTGCATGGGAGCATCTGGAGGAGGAGATCCCCCGTGGCGAGGGCTGTGGGGTGCAGTAGGATGGCCCCCCGCCCCTGCCGTAATAACCTGAGGCTTCGGTGTGGCCGGCAGGTGAAGTCGGAGCGGGCCGGCGGCTCCCGGAAGTGGTGCCGGCGCCGGGGGCTGGAGGAGCACCGGCTCTACGAGGCAGCCAACCTGCGGCGCCAGTTCCAGGTGGGTGCGCGGCAGGAGAGGGGGCCGGGTGTCCCCCCAGAACTCCCCCCAGCCCCTCCCCCCCTAACCTCCCGTCCCCCCCCCCAGGAGCTGCTCCGGGACCACGGTCTGCTGGAGGCCGTGCAGGGGCCCAGGGACAGCTCCGCCCGGCAGAGCCGGCACCGGGAGCGCCGGGAGCTGCACCGGCTGCGGCGGCGGCACGAGGAGACGGAGGGGCGGAAGCGCAAGGTGCTGAAGCTGCGGGAAGGGGAGGCCGGCTCCTCCAGCGACGAGGGCGATTGCGCCGGCAGGGCCGGGCCGCCTGGCGTCGATATCCAGGTGCGTGGAAGGGGGCCCCAGTGGGGAGAGTGCGGGGCAGAGGCCCCCCCCCATCCCACCCCTCACTGGGGCCAGAGCCAGCACTAAGAGCTTTCTCTGTGTCTCCCGCTGGCTTCCTGCCATGCCCTCCCCCCACCAGCAGGAGGGAGCCCGGACTCCTGGGTTCTGACCTGGCTCTGGGAAGGGAGTGGGGTCTAGTGGGTTAGAGCAGCGGGGTGGGGGCTGGGAGTCAGGACTCCTGGGTTCTGACCCTGCTCTGGGAGGGGAGTGGGGGCTATTGGTGAGAGCAGGGAGGGTGGGGGCTGGGAGCCTGGACTCCTGGGTTCAGTTCCTGGCCCTGACTCTGTGACACTGGTTACATCCCCTCCCCTCTCTGCACATCAGTTTCCCTGGGTGTAAGCTGGGGCCATGCCCCTGAGGGGCTGTGGGCACCGAGCCGGCTGGTGGAGGGGGTCAGGATCCTGTGGCTGCGGCAGTGCCAGCCCCTCCCTGCTGGGAGCCCGGGAGCGTCTGCCCGCAGGGTTTGCCGGGATGGGGGCAGTGCTGTCCCTTGCCATGGGGTGCTCCTAGGTGCTGCCGGGGGGGCCCTGAGCTCCTCTCAGCGCTGCCCCCCTCACACCCGTCGCCCCTTCCCTCGGCAGGACGTCAAGTTCAAGCTACGGCACAACGTGGACGAGCTCCAGGCTGCGGCCGGCGCGGCCCTGTCCTCCCACCAGCTGGCCCTGCTCAAGCTGGTGCTGTGCAGGGGTCTCTACCCCCAGCTGGCCGTGCCCGACCAGTACAACAGCTGCCGCAAGGACTCTGACCAGGTGCGCTGACCCCGCTCCAGCTCCAGCTCCTGGGGCCCGTCTCAGCTCTGAGGGGGCAGGGAGGTGGGAGCCAGGACTCCTGGGTTCTATCCCAGCTCTGGGAGGGGAGTGGGGTCTG